ACCATTTTATGGTCTAATTTAGGTGCCTAATTAAAAACAGAGTTCAGCACATGCTACACTGTCTTGCTAATAAATCTTGACAGCTTTGTAACATAATGGTTTGTATTTCAAATTGTTGCATATAAATGTAGATCTTTGGTCTTCACCCAGCAGTTTGGAAGTGAGTTTCATTCTTGGTTTAAACTCCAGGAATGAATAAGTGCAATTATTTCAAAATGGAATTATCTCCAATAAGATCTTATCTTACATTTCCCTCAGTGAAGACAGGAACAGGCTTGGCCACCAGGTTTTTAGAAAAAAGACTGGGGAAATTCATTTTCTCAATATTCATTAAATTAAAAATATAGGGGAATTTTTTTAATTTTTTTAAATTTATTTATTTAGTTATTACCCTTTGGGAGAGTTTTCTGCAGTTTCTGGGTTTTGGAATCTCATTCTAAAGAAATCTGCTCAAAGTATTAGTTATAATTGTCTCTTGGTTAACAAGTCCAATTTAATTACTTGATTTGGACACACTATATATTTTTTAAATTGATTCCAAGGAGTTTGGGAACACATCACTTAACCTATGTCCTCTTAGACTTCCCAGCCTGAAAAAGGGCAAGTGGCAGAGCATAAATCTACTCTTCAGGAAGGGTACTATATTTTCTTAGCCTCTGTACTTGAGGGATATTTTTGTCATTTTAATGACTCCTTTGATTCTAGATGTCCTGTGCAGAAAAGTAAAAGTGTCACAGTAGTGTGATTATCCTCAATCTAGTGTATACCAACTTGGGATATTACCAACTAGTTTGTTTTGGAGTTGAAATTCTTTTAAAGTGAATGACAGCCAGTGTGGTGGCGCATGCCTCAGTGGCTCCAGAGGCTGAGGCAGGAGGATCAAAGCCAGCCTTAGCAACTTAGCAAGGCCCCCTAATCCAGTTAGTGAGACCCTGTCTCAAAACTTAAAAAAAAAAAAAATTATAAAAGGGGGCTGGGGATGTGGATCAGTTGTTAAGGGACTCTGGGTTCAGTCTCTGGTACCAAAAAAATAAATAAATAAAGTTAATGACAAAGTGAGCAATCCCCACTGAGATCACTGGAGGCAGTCTGTCAAACTCTTAAAGCAAATGCAGTTTTGAATTCAACATATACAACTAACACCGTGTTTTAGTCAACTTAGTGAGTGAGCATGACACAGGACAATATTTGGAGCAGGACTGCCTGGGTCGTATATTAGCTTTGCCACTTTCCAGCTGTGAGAGCTTGGGCAAGTTGCTTAACCTCTCTGTGCCTGTGTTTCCTCATCTGTAAAAATGCCTACTTCACAGGACTGTAATGAGGATTAAATTGCTAATCCTGTAAAACTTGAAACAGTGCCTGACACACTGGGAAACAAGTGCCTGGCACAGTGGGAAAAAACATTTAATGATACACACGCGCGCACACACACACACACACACACAGATTTGTTTAATGTTGGCCAAATCATAGAAATGTCAGTTTATTTTGTGCAACCAAAAATGGAAAGGGGAGTCAAGATGAGGCTCGTATCTGTAAAATAAATAATAATCACTGAATATTTGGCTAAGTTAATCCCCAAACTAAGGTCATTAATATTCATAAAAATCTACCAAAACTTAAGAGGAAAAGGGAAATCTTAAAAATTATATGTGCTTGGCCATCCGAAGTTTAAATCAATCAAGGGTGAGTGGTTTCTCCACTTTTGCATTTGTTAGTTCCCCTGAACCACACCCTGCTATTTTCAGACACCATCACATCCACGGACCTGAAGGTAAAGGCCAGGGTCACTACATAGCACCCATATGTCTATCATTCCGTGAGGGCCTCATCAGCACTTGCTAAGTTTGGGAGTTTAATTCGAAAGAGCTGAATGATGAACTGGAAAAGTAAGCCCAGAAGAATCTGAATCGCAGACTAAAACAAACTGGCTCAGACAGCACGAATTAGCGCGTGTGATTTTTGCAGGGGTTAGGCAGTGAGTGCAAAGACTCCCACTCTCTGCCCAGTGGCGGGGTCAGCTCCGCGCTACCACCTCGGTGGTCTCCATCCAACCATGAACCTTCTTCATGTGGCTGATAGTGTCTCATTAGGACAAGTGGAAGGAGCTACAATCAAATTCCGAGACTTCATGCAAATCCGTCCAGGCCCTGGGCTACTGGGTTAGGCCACTGGCGGGGCTGTGGATCACCCCCATTAAACCCATTAACAACGGCTCAGACAGCCATGACCTGGTTCTGCAACAGATTAGGAGGCTGACCCTTGGGCTCAACCATCCAGGCTCATAGATTTTTATCTTAAATGCCTTTAAAATGTCTCCCTTTCTCATAGATTCTCATGTTGAGGACTTGTTTAAAACATTTTCGGAATTGCATCTTTCTTTCTGGTTAATTATTATTTATACTCTTCCCCAATTGGCCGCCTGAGTTTACCGACAGCTAAGGCACAATGGGGCAGGGATTTTTAGGTGGAGCAGGGATTTTTCGAGGAGAGGGAACTCCAGCGAGGGCGAAGGGTGAACCCCAAACATTGGCTCTTACGTATAGCACCCTGGGTCAGGCGTCCTAACGGTGTTGGGTTTAAAGTTAAAACGGTCACCTTCAAAATAACTGTTAAGTCCACATATTTGCTCAGAATATTTTAAATTAGTTTAGAATTTGTAATTAAGCAGATAGTATTTAAAATATTTAATTTCTTTAAAAACAAACAAACAAACAAACAAAAAAAAAAAAAAAAAAAAAAAAAAAAAAAACGACCAACCCTGCGGCCAAGCCAGACACGCCTGGTGGGACAATCAGGGAACGCTGCGAGTTTGCAGTTTGCATCTCCCAGGTCGCGGCCGCGGGCTCTGTACCTCCTCTGGTACCTCCGCGTTGCGACAGTCCTGCTAGTCAGTTTTTTTAGTTAGATAGCTGGGAAGGATGATTAACCTAGCGCCTCTGGCGACTTGACCTAGCTCGCTCGGCCAAATGCAGCCACTCCCAGGGCAGCTCCCAGGCGAGGACCCGGCCCGCAGCTCCCAGGCTGCGCTCCCGGCTGCAGGAGCGCGACCAGGGTTTCCAGCGCGACTTTATTCAGAGTTTTTGAATCGATCAAAAGGAACGTGGCAGGTGGAGGGCTGCCGCCTAGGAGATTTCGTGAATCTCCCTGTGGGGGATTTCCACAGCCTGCTCCAGGTGCTTCTAGAACTGACATCAAGGGTTCGGTTATTTTCCTTTCCGTTCCTCCCAACCCGGCCTGCAAGAGTGTCTGATCTCAGAAAATCCCGGGCTGCCTCCGGCTTTGTTGGGCTCCACCTTAGAAGGGCTCTCTAGTTATAGCCTGCCATCCCGCTCCACTCCCGGAACCACCATCCCGGGAGGAGGAGGGGTGGCTGTGGTGAAGAAATAACATCCAATCAATGACAATAGCTAACAATTAAAGAGGTCCCCAAGTGCCAGCCAAGCACCTGACTGCACCAATGCATTCACTTCCCGGCTTTGCGGAGAACCAGTATCATCCCCACTGCACGGATGAGAGCACCGAGGCTCAGAGTTCTCTAGTCAGGACGTGAATTCAGGCAGTGTCTTGGAAATAGTGAGAAGAGCGGCTGTCACGGCTGGCTAAACCTCTAGACTTAGGCAACTCCTGACAATAATAAAAAACATTAAAGACAATGAGTAGGGGGGAGGACGCGACTGGGAAAGGAGCGGTTTTAATCGGTAAGGTCAGTCACTGTTTCCCCCCCCCCATCCTATCCGGATCCAGAGAAATGCAGTAGAGACAGGAAGTGGGGTTCGGTTAGGTTCTCCCCTTTTGTTTTCTTAAGTCTCCAGCCTCTTTGAAGCTAACCGGTATTGGAAAAATGCCGGAGACTCGAGGGAGTAGTGTAGGCTGAGGGATGGTGACCAGAGAGATGGAATGAGGACCAGTGCCTGGGCCCATTAGTCAGAAAACCGGGTTTCCGGAGCCTGGAGCCTGTCTCCCACCCCAACCACTCACCCCAAAAGACCAGTAGCTGGAGGGAAGCAAAAGGCAGAGGTCGTAATTATGACCTTGGGGCCGCTTTCCCTCTGGAACTGGACTCACAACTCTATTTGAGAGCACAATTTCCGGAAGCCGCGACTTCTAAGCAACCCTCATTTCTTGATCAATGGGCCCGAATATTCTTTGCGCCCTGACTTGTACGGGGGCGGCGGAGACCAGAGTTCCTGTCCCTGCACCAAGGCCTGGGAGGCGGAAACCTACGGGCTGTGCCTGGGGCGCTCCTGTTCCTTCAAAGCTGCGCGCCGCTAGGTCGGGCAGGCTGCAGTGCGCGCCTTTGCCCGACAGGGACCAGCACCGCTCCACGCTCCGCGTGCCACAGCCAACAGAGGCGCAGAGCCACCAGCCCAGCTCACCCTCCCCAGCCCTAGCAGCTCGCGAGCGCGGCGGGTCTGACCCCCTTAGGGTTCCGGTAACAAGGAGGACTGTAACAAAAAAGTTAACAGACTCTCAGCAGCCTTGGCAGGATGCCGTGGTCTCCCCCACCTCCCCATCTGGGGAGCAGAAGCGGCTCTAGAAGTTGGTCTAGGGAGGGACTGCTACCCAAGAGGCGTAGAACACTCCTCCCAGTGTCCTGGTCTCGGAGAGGAAAAAGAAAAAAAACACTACCAACACTGGATTGATTCATGGGTGACACTGCCAGGGTTAGACGATAGCCCGCTTCCCTAAGCGCTTTCCAATCGCTGCCACGCTTCCTTGCGACGAAGTCGCCTAGTTAATTTTTCAGGGCACCACAGACCACTGAGTTCTCCGTGAGAAGTTTCTGTAGGTAGTAGCCAGACCAGAGCAAGGAGTAACCTGGACCGCGCGGGGGCGGGATTCTCGACGCTACTAGCCTGCACTACGCGGTCATCCTCTGTCCCTCCAGCCATGGTGGTCCCATGTTGTCCCCCAACCACCTTCCCAACATGTGCCATGTTTCCCTTCCTCATGGTCTGAGTCGCGGCCGGTGACCCTGGCCCCGTCAAATAACTCACCGGTACCAGGCTAGACCCTTGTCATAGCTGCGGTCGAAGAAGTGGGGCTCCGCGCCCACGGCGCGCACGTCGGGGTGCACGCGCAAGAACTCCAACAGGGCCCTGGTGCCGCCCTTCTTCACGCCGATGATAATGGCCTGCGGCAGCTGCTTGGTCCCTGACCCACTAAAGAAGCTGGAGATGGAGCTGGGGGAGTCAGGCGTTTCGCGACTCTGCTCTTCTAGGCTCGCGGCGCCCTCCGCCATCTCCTTGCCAGCAGCCAATGCCGTGGCCGGCGGTGCCCGGAAAGGCAACCTGGGGGGCGTCCCATTTGGAGCTGTGGCCAGGGCTGGCGGGGCGTGTGCAGTGCGAGACCCCGAACCCAACAGCAGTAGCCCGGGAGCGGCGGCGCAAGAGCCGGCGCACGAGTACAGGAACATGTAGAGCCAGACGCAGAGCATGGCGAAGAGCAGCGCGAGCTTCCTCCTCACCGGTGGCGGGGGCGTTGGAGGCTGCGGCAGGAACCGCCCGGGGACATCGAGGCAGGATCGGCCGCCGCTCAGGCGCTGCCCCATGCGATGCCCGCGGGCGCGGCCAGGGACATGGCTCAGCACATGGCGCAGGTCTGGCAGGAGCAGTGAGCACGGTGAGGGTCCCTTGACCCTCTGGAAGCCGGGCGGCTCGGTTTATTGCCCCCGTGTACCCGCGGTTGCCACTCCTGCTGCTGCTGCTGCTGCTGCTCTTCCCCAGGTGGCGGCGGCAGCTGTAGCGGCGGCGGCTCTTGACATGTTGCCCGGGAGAAGCAGCAACTGGAACGGAAAGTCAGAGCAGCGGTAATTGCTGGTAGAAGGGCTGTTATTGCGGTGCCATGACCCGCGCTGGGCCAGAAGAACGCTGCACTCCCGTGCCCTGGTCACTCTGGACGGTGCGCACAGCCGCTCGCCGGGGCTGCCTCTTAGCAGTCCTGAGAACTAATCCTTGAAAGCAGCCCCGGCACTTGCCCGCAGAGGCTGCTGAGGAGAACTGCGCAGGAAGGGAGCTGGGGACTGAGGTGGAGTGGGCGGGACCGGCCTTCGGGAGTGACAGGCCGTTCTACCTACCAGAAACCCGGAAGACCATGCAAATGCAGGCGCTTTGCGGAGGGCTAAACAGCCAATCTTCTCTCGGAACGTGGGGGTGTGGAAAGGGTTCGGGGAGGTGGAGAGTGGTTGGGGATTGTTATTGGCTGCAGGGCTCAAGGGGCGGTCTTAGAGAGGCGGGGCCAGGGACTGGTGACAGGAGCAGATGGTGGGAAGGATGCTGGAGTGACCAGACGCTGAGAGAAGTCCTATCCCACTGAGTGGTGCGCTCCCGCACCCGCGCGCCTTTCCGCACTCGCTCCCCGGAGCCAACCGTGGCTGTAGTTGCCTAGATGTCGGGACGTAAGTCCCCATCCAGATGTTTCTTAGGCAGGTTCGGGATGTGTATGTGTTGCAGTCAGGGTTGAAGGAGGGAAAACTGGGAGAGAGAGGCACCAGCTACCCAAACCGCCCATCTCACACCAGAGACGCAGAGACGGGGCCCTTCCGGGAGAGGGACAGGTTTAAGAAGTTTGAGGGAGAAGTTTGTTTGGAAATCGCTGACAACTCCCTCCCCCAGGTCTTTCCCCTTCATTCTTGGCCAGGCGTGATCTCCCCTGGCCTGCCCGTGAACTGGGATCGGCGTAAACTGTCCTCAAGACAAATCTCCAACCTCCCAAGCTGGTTGGGGAGGGGGAAAGGAGAGAAGGAAAAAATAACAGGGAGATAGAGTCTGATTTTTAAAGTTTCCTGGTTGAAACATGTGAGTTACGCATGGGAGACTTTATCTGTATATGACTTTGTTGAAAACTTTAGGTTTGAGAAAATATTCTCTTCCCTTTTTCCTGAATAAATATTAGAGCCAACATTCACCACCACCCCCCCTCCAATTAGGAAACAATGGCTGACATATGGCACTGCTTGTTAGGTGTCATTTTTCGCCACCAACTTTTTTGTTAAATTCAAGCGCCAACTTGGAGCAAATCAGTTGACCATTAAATGAGACGCAGTTATTAAACAGCCAAAGTCTACTCCAAGCCGCCCTACCCCGCGTTCTCTTCCCCGACTGGGAAGCGGGTCTTCATGGCAACCTACCAGCTCCCTGGAGGGAAGCGCGGGCGAGAGGTGCCTCACTCTTGCTAAATTCTTGCACAGGCATTTGGAATTAGGAAGTTCGAGATTCTCAAGTTCATCGCGGTGGTGTTCAGGAAGTTTTTGATGCCTGCAACCGTGCCTCTGCGGGACCAGCTGGCCTCCAACGCCCGGCTGCCCGCAGTTCCGGGACAGAACGCTCCTTCTGACTCCAACCCCAGCTTGGCCCAGTGGCTGAGTGTTGCCCACTAGGTGACCTACCGAGAGCCGCAGCCCACGCTGGAATTCACTGTCAGCGCAGGCGGGCACAACTGATCTGACCTAACCCTGGTTTCTCTACCGCTCTATAACGGACCAGCCGCTGGAGTAAATGTCACGGACACTCTCCCTCCTGGAGTAAATGTCTCCAAGCATCCCAAGTAGCTGCAGCCCATCCCTGGTCGGTTCCCCACGGTCAGGAGCAAGCCGAGAAGGCCAGTTTGGCTTTAGCATCTCGGGCTTGAAAATGTGCACGAGCGACAACTGTGACCAGAGGAGGATTCGGACCACGCGACCCATGAGCCCCCGTTGGGCTCCGCGTGATCTCTTTGTAACTAAGTTAAGTCCAAGACATTTTTTCCTGCAAAATTGTTGAAGGGGAAATAATTTAGAGGATAGGTTTCTCCTCCACCCTTTATATCCGCAGCTAGAACTGCACAATTTTTTCCCCTCTCCCTGGAATTTTTTTTTTTTTTAATTTGGAAGTGATCTAATCGCCCTTAATTTTTGACTTAATTAATTTATTATTAGTTTATTTTAAACTTCTAAACATTAACGCAAATATTTCTTAGAACTACTCCGAATATTTTGAAATGGGGTGAGGGAGATGTTCCTGTCCCGAAGGGTGTATCTTCAGATTAACATTATTTAGGCGGGAAATAAAGTTACTCATTTGTATGTATTCAGGGAGTTGTAGCTCCCATGTGGCTAGCTTCAGGCCTAATTGGGTGTGAATAAAAATGGTCTCTGTCCTGTGGGTTAAGCCAAGCCCTTTGAGTGATTACAAATCGAGGCTGCCGGATATATTTGGGGTTTCTTTTTTTCCGGAGGTGGAGGGAGGAAGGCAGGGAGTGGAAGCAAAGACGTGGGCGTCGGAAATTGAGCCGAGTGCTAAGCGGAGCTCCGCGCCCCAGAGCTAAGTCTCTGCCTGGGCCCATCCGGCGCCCCTTCAATCCTCACTGCCTCCAACAACGAGGTGGTTGGTGGTGAGCGCCACGCTTTGAGCCAGGCCCTGGACAGCGGTGTCGGAGCAGGATCTGGCTCCCGACCCGACACTTCGGTCCTTTTGCCCACCCGCAGGTCCTCCTACAGCGCTCCGAAGTTCCAGGCTGTGCCCCTAAGTCCTCACGTGCGGCGGCCGCTCTGCGTCTACCCTTGGCAAACGCCATTTCACCCACGGTGCCATCTGCCAGATGGGGAACCTGAGGCTTTACCTGGGTAGAGCTGGTAACACAAGCTGGCTGTGATCCCAGTTTGCGCCTCTACTGTTAACTGTTGCTCAGCAGTGTGGCGTTTTCCCCAGCCTTGGAGCCTGGGCATCAGCAAAGCGCCACCGCCAAAACCGAAAGAAAACTTTATCTTTGATAAACTTATTAAATTTTTTTGCATTCAGAAAATACGGAGAGAATTCAATTTCTCGCATACTTGTCTGGATCGTTTTATTTTGGGTTTGTTCATTCGGAATTACCTAAAGTGGGTGCACACATATGGTCTCTGAGGGTTCTAATCCGGGTAGCAGCCGATCTTCTTTCCCTTTCCCCCCAGGTTCTGGTGCTAACAACCTGTTGTGTGACACCCCCCCCCCAAAAAAAAAAAAAAAAAAAAAAAGTATCACTCTCTGGTCCTAAAATTTCTCGTGTGTAAAATGTCGAATTTGAGCCCAAACATTCCCGCAATACTTTCTGCGTGAAGTTTCTTCCATTCTAGGCTGAGGATAGTTGGACCAAGCAGCTGCTGGAGCCTTCCCGCCAGCCCCACCTGGCGACTAGCGGTCTTCCTGATCCCTGCGGAATCGCAAAGCAGGCATTTCCTGGGCTGCCTGCTCCCGTGGCCTCTGCCTCAGTTCCTGCCACCGGAATCCGTACCCTCTTGCGGTTCCTGCAGCCAGCCAGGCGGCCCCCTTGGGGATACCAGTTTGGAGCTCATTGCGTCCTGGTCTCCACCGCGCGGCCGCCGCTCCAATACCCGCCCGCAAGAGAGCGCTCTGTTCGCGCCTCCTTGCTGCTGGGTGGCAGGGACAGGAGGTGGGGAAGCCTGTGACCAGCGTCTTACCAGCGCACAGGGAAGGGAACTTTCCCCTCGGTTTGGACTCCTGTCCCTGCGACATCCATAGCCTCCAGGATTTCGTGGGAGCCACGGTACCCCCTTTTCTCCAGGCCAAAGGCATCATTTGGCGTTTAAGGGATCACTGACCAGAGGCGGGCATTTGCCTGGCTCTGGGGCTGCAATTAGCCAGACCTCAGGGATAAGAATTCTACGAGTGGCAGAAGGGCTTCACGGAAAGTAAAGAATCTCTTCCTAGCAGTAAACTCCCACTGCACCCAGTGGGACCCTCAGCCCTGATTCTGGGCATGAATGTAGCACATGGTCACAGAAAGGATTGCTGTTAATGAGAAATTACCTGCCAACCACACCACAGAGATGCTTGCCCTTGTAAGTAAAACAAGTTTGATGCCCAGATTGGCTTGGTGACTTGTGTTAAGAGGAGTAAAGATTTACACAGATTCCAAATCCTTCCTCCATGTTGTCCCAGGAGGTTCCTTTACCCTGGAGAACAGGGCAGGGATTGGGAAGGTGGAGCTCTGACAAAAGTATTTATTCCCCATGCCTAGTTGTTATCAGGTTCTGACAGAAGGTTCAGGCCTGGGGTGGAAAGACAGCTTCCCCTTGCCAGAGCCAGAGTGCTGTGGCTCTGTTCTTCCTGTGTTCTCTCATCCTCCTTCACTTTTGTAAGTAAGTACCCTTTTTATTATATTCTCCTCAAATTACCCACCTGGAAGGTGCTCTCTCTTTTCTGACAGGACCCTAACATATGCTACAACAGAGCTGCATTGATTTTTCCTAATCTGACTCTCAAACATTGGCTGTGTGACTTTGGATAAGTTTCACAACCCTTCTGAGCCTCAGTATTACTTTCCAGCAGTGGTCCTCCATTCACCTTTCTCTCCTATAAATACCCTCAGACCCACTCTTCCTCGATTCTATTTTCCTAGCAACAGAAATCCTCCAGGGCAATTCTGTCTTCAGGATCCCTGGCCTGACCTGCTGAGATGATGGAGGAAAATATGTTCAGGAGATAACTGATCCTACTTTAATCTTCCCATGACAAACTTCCTATGGACATATAAAAATGTGCTGCAACTCTATTGTCTCTAGGATGCTCTCTTGCTCAGAGTCTGGGACAAGCATTTTTTTGATTTCTTTTTTTTTTTCTTTCTTTCCTTCCCCCACCCTCATCCCCATACTGGGGCATTGAACTCAGGAGTGTGTACAACTGAAGTACATTCCCAGCCCTTTTTATTTTGAGACAGGGTCTTGCTAAGTTACCCAGGCTGGCCTTGGACTTTGGATCCTCCTGAGGAGCTGGGATTATAGGCATGTTCCACTGAGCCTTGCTTGAAACAAACATTTCTTAACATGCTCTCCTACAAGAGGTAGCATTTAAGAACATGGATGCTGCTGGAATATTGTGTATTCTTTCTACCAACAACTCTCCACACTAGCAGGCACCTGCCCCAACTCCCACTTCCCCCTGATCATGGTAGAGGAAACAGAAGTCTAGCCTAGACAGAGAATGACACCTTCTAGGGCTCTGGGTCTCAGCCTTTATCACCTCAAGGATGTCTCTTCCCCACTCTTTGCCTCTGA